CCCCGTGCGCCCAAACCCGCAGGGATCCCCCGCGCCCGCTCCTTTCCGCTCGCCGGCTTCTCAGATGCTCGCTGCGCCCCTTACCGCCACCTCCCTCTTGCCGCAGCTTGCCCCTCGGAGTAGCCGCCTAAGTCGGGGAGGAAAGAATGACCGAGGTGCTGTGGCCGGCTGTCCCCAACGGGACGGACGTTGCCTTCCTGGCCGGCCCGGGCTCTCCCTGGGGGAACAGCACGGTCGCTTCCACCGCTGCAGTCGCCTCCTCGTTCACGTGCGCCCTGACCAAGACGGGCTTCCAGTTCTACTACCTGCCAGCTGTGTACATCCTGGTGTTCATTATCGGCTTCTTGGGCAACAGCGTGGCCATCTGGATGTTCGTCTTCCACATGAAGCCGTGGAGCGGCATCTCGGTGTACATGTTCAACTTGGCGCTGGCCGACTTCCTGTACGTGCTGACTCTGCCAGCCCTCATCTTCTACTACTTCAATAAGACGGACTGGATCTTCGGGGATGCCATGTGCAAACTGCAGAGGTTCATCTTCCACGTGAACCTCTACGGCAGCATCTTGTTCCTGACCTGCATTAGCGCGCACCGGTACAGCGGCGTGGTGTACCCGCTCAAGTCCCTGGGCAGGCTCAAGAAGAAGAACGCAGTCTACATCAGCGTGCTGGTGTGGCTCATCGTGGTGGTAGCGATCTCCCCCATCCTCTTCTACTCGGGGACCGGGATCCGGAAAAACAAAACCATCACCTGCTATGACACCACCTCGGACGACTACCTGCGAAGTTACTTCATCTATAGCATGTGCACGACCGTGGCCATGTTCTGTGTCCCTTTGGTGCTGATTCTGGGCTGTTATGGGTTAATTGTGAGAGCTTTGATTTACAATGACCTGGACAACTCGCCTCTGAGAAGGAAATCGATTTACTTGGTGATTATTGTACTGACTGTTTTTGCTGTGTCTTACATCCCTTTCCATGTGATGAAAACGATGAACTTGAGGGCCCGGCTGGATTTTCAGATCCCAGAAATGTGTGCATTCAATGACAGGGTTTATGCCACTTATCAGGTGACAAGAGGTCTAGCAAGTCTCAACAGCTGTGTGGACCCCATTCTTTACTTCTTGGCAGGAGACACCTTCAGAAGGAGACTTTCCCGAGCAACCAGGAAAGCTTCCAGGAGAAGTGAGGCAAATTTGCAATCCAAGAGTGAAGACATGACCCTCAATATTTTATCTGAGTTCAAGCAGAATGGAGATACCAGCCTGTGAAGGCTCCACAGTGCCCAGACACCTCATTTTTGTAACATGGTAGGATGCTTCCAGAGCCAACTGCTTTCCCCCCTTTAAGTTTCTAGTAAGTTTAGAGAAAATTCACACGGAGAAAGGAGAAAGTTCTTTTGTTTTTGTTTATTTGTTTGTTTGTTTGTTTTGAATAGAAGTAGAAATGGCCACCTTCACACTTGGCTTGTTTGGGTTTGCTTTCAAAGTCTCCCCTTCTGACTAGAGTTATGTATAATAAAGCAATCCTACCTAGTTAAATATTTACTTTCTTTTCTGCCTTTAAGATGTACAAGCTTTTCTGTTTAAAGTGTTGTGTGTGCACATGAGTACTGGAGCTATTTGGATATTAATAATTTCTCCAAGAAAACTAGCCACCTGAAACTTGAATTTATGATAGGTCTAGCCTTTATTTTTAATAATCCATGGTAGAAACAAATTAAAATCTACAGTCTCAAACATATGTAGGATAGTATAACAAAATTCTAAACACAACTCATTTCATAACAGGGAAACCAGTTTCTGAGTTGGTTGTCTTTGGGGGGAATGTCTTAACAAGCACAGGTGGTAGCTGACAGAGATTTTTTGGGGATTAAATAAAAAAGTAGTCAATGAACTTAAAATCCTAAAAAGTGATTCTTTTCCAGTTATGTCTGGACTAAGTAATTTTGGCTGCTGAATGTTTAATGGTGGAAGTTTACACATATTTTCTTACTTGCTAAGATAATATATGTAAATACATTAAATTCAAAAGAATCAAAGTGCTTGTATTTTCCTTGTAAACACCATGATCTTTCCTAGACTTCCCGTGCTAAGGTGCATTTATTTGTACCCCTGACTGTGCAGTGCCTTAGGACTTTGTGTTAGAGGACAAGTGCTCACACACATCTGTAAAAACAATGAAAAATCACAGATAAATTGCAGACCAACGTCCGAGTACAGCTGAATAACTGTTAGCAAGTTGAGGGATATTGGGCAGGAGAATAGTATTTTCAAAAAGGGAGTGGTTGACAGTCATCACAACATGTAGCTAACAAGGATAGTCTCAAATGTATGAGGTAATGGGGCAGGGGGTGGGGAGAAGACATTTTAGAATAAGGACTCTAGTTTAAATTAAAATCAGGTTGGAAATAGCTCTTTTGTTTCTTCAAAGTGTTTGAAAACATATCCCATATGAAAAGAGGTAATAGACTTTGTATAGGTTATGTTGATAGAATGAGAAGGTGTAATATTTTAATGAATCATATAGCCTAATACTTAAAGGAAAAAGAAACCGTATATGTGGAAAGAGAAATAGGAAGAATTAATATCTATGTTACCACGACGTTGAAAAATAAACTGTTGATGGGAGTAATCGAACTACTAACAGTTAACAAGAAGGCTACGGGCCAGTGTTTTTTTCATATTTGTTATCTGTCTGGTATTAATGAAAATATTTTTAAAACTTCAACAATTTCAGTAGTAATTTTAAGTGAATGTTGGATGGTTGCATTTCTAGCCCTTAAAGTCATCAAATTCTATATAATGAGAATAATGAGCTGAGGTAACAAAATTAATTCCAAATTTTTAGTTAGTCAAGTTTACAAAATTTTAGTTATGAAAGTTAACCCCCATAAAGTCATCCCCAGAGTTTGCAATGGCTGGTAGAATAACTTGTTTAAAAGCACTTTATAAGTAAAGCAGTATGAGGCTAGATGTTAAAGCAAGAAATAACCTTAATCCCCTGGGGAATGTAATGACAGGAAATTCAGGGCTGATTTCAGTTCTTGCCATTCCCCTGGTGGGTAGAAGATTTGTGAGACTTTCAGAGTTGTTTCAATTTACCCAATTTAGGCCACTAAGATCAATGAAGAATACCTGTGTTTAGCTTTCACCAGTGTTTCTTTTTACATGTTCAATCTTAATGCATAGGACTACAGAAACCAAATCAAGAAGAAACCTACTATACCTCTTTGTGTCAGGGAAAGAACAAGTTCTCTTTTGGTTAGGCTCATATAACCTGGTCTGGTTTAGAATCCTAAAAGACAAAATCTCAAAGATGTCATTATTTTATTACTCTTTCCAAACATATGTTCAGTGAGACAGGATCAATATTATTAAACTGCCTGGAGTGAAAATTCCAGAAACAGAACTTGTAGTCTAATAATACACATTTGTATAATATTTGCTCACCATTTGTTTTAGTTTTCTTCCTTTTTAGGTCTCAGGATGCCTCCTCTGGTGTAGAGTATGTGTTCAGTGCATTGCTTCAGCTTTCAGAGAACTTTCTTTGAGAGTGTGGATCCTGTGAAGAGTTGGACAGTGACTAGAAATGCCTTTTACTGCTTGGCATGTTTTCCCCAAAGTGTTTCTTCTTTAGATTCAAACGTTACATAGTGGACGACAAGGACATGTGAATGCAAGCCAAATAGTAACAAGAATGATCTTGCCAACTCCTTCCAGGCCAAGAGAAGTCTCTGGGAAGATCTGTGCTAATGGTGAACACATAAAGAGGGGCAGGATGAAGCAGTGATCTATTGTCTGAAAAGCTGATCCATGCCATATGATGATTGAGTAAGTATACCGATAGAAAAGGCAGAAATCTGTTGGTATTGGAGTAAAGAAGAGGTAAAATGATAGAACTTATCAAGTAACTCCATTTCACACTACAAAAATACTGTTATAGTTCCAAAGTTGTTTTTTTTTTCCCCCTTATAAATTGGCACCTTTGTCTCTTTCAATATCAACTTGTGTTTACATTGAGATGATAAAAAAGACAGAAAATATAACTAGGCAAGTGAGAATTCAGAATTAAAACCATGATGTTGCTACTTGGCCACCTGTGGAGTTTTGATCCTTTAAAGACCACTCTTCATGGACTAAGATGCTTGGAAGACATCCATTTATTAGGGCCTTGGGACGTGGTAAAACGTGAGAAGTAGACTTCCAGGAGGATGTAAAATGTGCTACTATATTTTACAGGACTCTTCAGTCTAGTCCTTGGCTAACAATTCTTACAAGGTTCACCAAGTGATGTGGACCTATGACCGATGAGTCTTTTCAATTTACTCAGACAGCACACTAAACTATCTTTGGATTCTTTAGACGCCATGCTTATAGCAGCTGGAATTTGACTAGTGACAATACATAAAGATGTGATACTAGTTAGGATCTATTGAAGCTTTAACTGTTGGTCAGATTGTAACTGTTGTATTAGTATTTATTATGATGCTCACAGTCTTTCAGTTGTACAGATTGACAAACTTTCTTGAAAGAGTCAACATACTGACGTACACTATATTTATTACAATGTATGATAATAATATGTCACATTGTTGTATTTTACATAATGTATAATACATAGATCAAATGAGAATTGTATGTTAGGATGCTTTTCAAATATTAGTGTCTTGAAATGTTTAAGTCTTCAGAAATTTTTTGGTCTAAGATATGGAAATCTGTTTCATGATATAAGGGATTAATTTTCCCTAGAAATGCTTTGCATGGGTATCTTTTTTATTTAGAGTTCTTTCTATACAGACACATTTTGGTGTCAGACTATCATAAGATCAATAGTGAATATAAAATATCTTAGCCTGACTGGATCTTTATCATCTGCATTAATAGAAGAATTCGTATTGTCTTTTTAGAAGGTTTAGAATTTTGCTCTCAAATATGATCAAAACTTCTGTTGCCAAATACTAAAGGCTTATTTTATATTCAGAGTTGATCTCTTATGTTTTAGAAGGCTGGTGGGATGGACATTGCATATATAACATTAACATTTAAGGAAAACTTAGGAAGATGGGAGGCAAAAAGGCAACGATGCAGTCGGTTACTGCTGCTCAATTCTGCTTAAATTTTTGCATTGTGTTTCTTCTCCAGGTGAATTTTAGGAATCTTAATGTCTAATCTTAAGTTCTTGGAGATGGAGTTTTTAAGTAACACACTACCAGCAAGTTCAATAGTGCTATTCATTTTAACCTATTTTCTTTGTCCAGTTGATACTTTAATTCCAAGTCTTATGATGATAACTGTATATGAATTGGCTGCTGAATTCTGTTACAGTTTTTTATTCTGTTGTACATTGTACTCTACACATTATCACAAATTAATATGAAGGTGAATATACATTACATATCAAATTTGTGAATTTGAATTATAGTATGTTTTAGTGCTTTTGCAAAAATGTTTATTTTTATATCTGTGATTTTAATATAGAGAATTAAGCTAGATTTCTTTGTGATTAATAGTGCCACTAAATGAGCAGTATGGAGACAGTGTTACTTGACATTTTGCGCTTTCTCAGGTTTATCTAAGTCAGTGGTTGCTTTAATGAAATCCAGAAGGATTGTGTTTTTAATAAAAGGAAAATACATTTCCTATAATAGTATAGTATTGTTTGCATGCAGGAGTATGCAGCATTTGGACGTGTGTGTGTGTGTGTGTGTGTGTGTGCACGTCTAAGGCATGACAACCAACTTTGTATCTGCTATTTATAGTAGCAACAGAGCTTCATAGCTGTGGTCACTATAATTGTGCTTACCGTAGACAATTAAAACTGAAAAAGGTTCAATAAAACTATGAAACATAACTTGATGGCTTCTATGTTATTATGATATTAATACTCACAGATGTCCCAAAATTTTAACATATAATGTTGTAAAGACTAGTAAGTATTGTAGATCACAGCAATTCAGGTCTTCCTTAAGGTATAGACTGGACTGTAAAAACTACAGTGCAAAAGGAAGAATCCTTGTATAAAATAATTGATAAGGTTGCCATTACTTGAAATTTAATTACCAATGGAGATATGAGCTAATTCTTTAAAGCAGAATATCAAATGTTGCCACAATGTGTACTTCTCATACTGGTGTTCTGAATCTAAAATGTTAGCTACTCTCTTTCTTGATCTTTTTTATTTTCTTTCTTTTTTTAAATGCATGAAGGTAGTCATACTAATAATCCTTTGTGGTTTTTGTTTATTTATCTAAATCACCTGTTTCTCCCAGGAGTGTTTAAAACCACGTATGTGGTACTGCAGTGAAAAACATGTATTATGGGAGGAAAACTTGCCTAAAGCATTATCTTTTTTCCTCCCCTCCTCTTAATTGGGAAGGTAAGTACACATGGTCCTGTGTTGGATTCTCTGGCTGTCTTCTGAGATAAGCACCCTGTCATGGAATGCAGTGGGGAGAAAGGCAGATTTCTTGCAGCCTTTAAGATGTGCATCAGTCAGTATTAATTCCTTAATTAGATGTACTATCTAGAGTTCATCATCTGAAAATCTTAACTTGTTAACATCAGCTCTGGTAGTGTTTTATAAGGTGTGTGTGTATCTATGTGTGTAGAGGTGGACATGTGTGCTTATTTAAAGAAGACGTAGAAATTACACAAGATAATTCTCTTTCTGGTTTAATAAAAATTTACCCTAAACCTTTGGGTACCTTTTTTTTTTATTTTCTAAATCACTTTGGGGTTAGTATCAAAAAACCTTTTAATCCACAAGTTAATATGTATTTTTATTCCCCCCCCCCCTTTTCCTTTAATGAAATAGAAAGTTGATGCTTTCTTTTTCAGGTGGTTTAGAATCTTGTTCCCTATTACGATCAGAGTTTCCATTTCCAAATGCGTAAAGCTTGTCCTAAATTCAGAGTAGATTTATTATGGTTTAGAAGTCTGATGTGATAGGGCATTATAGACAAAGCAGATGTCACTAGAAATTCACGTTAATGTTAACATTGTGCTTAGTGCTTAAGCCTGCAAGGTTATGTTGCTTTGGGCTAGATCCTGGGGACTGACATCCCAGCCAGCATGACTGCTGGTACTAAATAGCAGCTAAGGGCCAGAGTCAGGCTCCTGGGCTGAGCAGCTGATAGCACTGCAGCCCTCGGGAATTTGGAGATGACAAAGGAAAAGAGGGATAGGAGACGAGTGAGGGCTGTTGGTGCTGCAAGGAGCAGGGAATGCCTTCCTGATGACCCGATGAAGAGAAATCACCTGTGTGAAAGTGGAAATCTGTGATGATAGACTAATAACGATAGAGACCTTGGAGTGAATCGGTTTTATCACTTTAGTTTGCAGGTGAGAGTAAAATGTCCACAGTCAGAAGTGGAGCTAGTGGTGTTCTCATTCTTATCAGAACATTCTCCCACAGCCCAAGGCTCTTCAGACTGTGGGTCTTGACCCATACATGGCTTATGAATCACTATGGTCAATTGTGATCGATACTCTTCAACAAAAGTAAAGCAGACTAGCTCAGAGTTCATAACCCAGTGAGTAAGGCTTTGTAATTTTAATTGCCCCCCCCGCCATATATTCACATATCCAGTACTCATATATGTATTTCTATCCTGAGTCACAAATGACCTTATATCTTACTGTGGACATGACAAAGAAAATGGGAAAATTTTTGCTCCTCAGTAAAAGGCAGCATGGAGTTAAAGGAACATGGGATGAAGAATGTTTTTCAAAACTATTTTCAAATAAATGTAAAGCTATTTAGTTAATTGTGTTACACATGTTCATGCATTCATTTTTTTTTCTGTTAATGTTATTTTCTTCTGAAGACTCCATTTGGAATTCCCAAAGAAATTGTTAGAGCAGCATGTAGCCTACATATAAGGGTGGCTGTTTGCAGTTAGACATGATATAATTGAATCTTGGATTTAATGTAAACTTGGATAACTTATATATGACTTCCTTTGGTTTAAACAGTTAACAGCAAAACAGCAGATCTCCACTGTATTTAAGAGCAGTGACTTTGGAATCAAAAAACTTTAAATCTGACATCATCTCTGCCATGTACTATTTGTGTACGCTGGGTAAATTATTTAAACCCTCTCAGCCGTGTGTTCCTCACCTATGAAATGCAGCTCATGGGATGTTGAAAAAATTAAATGAAAGAAAATATGCAAAACCTACCACACATTACGCAATAAATAGTCGGTATGCTATTCTAGAGGCTGCTAAGGATTTTGTCACTACATGTCACTATTTTGATGTTACTGTCCTAAGTTTCTATTGTCTTTTTCATATGTTGGAAGCTTTGTAGGTCTCCTATAAATTCATCTTGTGGTGTCAAGAATTATTTGGATGGATTTAATATTGTTCTTTTGAACACTCGGTTGGTCTCTGGGGTCAGATAATGAGCACATGCTCAACTTTTGATGCTTTGTGTAATGATATGCAGTGTGTGTGGCAAAAGTGCACAAGACAAGTGTATACAGCTAGAAATATACAGAATACGGGAGTGCCTATGACCTCCTTCTCTGGCCCCCCTCCCAGGTTCATGGTTTATTTTCAGCTACCACACTGCAGAGTCTGGGCTTCAGTTTTGCAGATCCAGAAACTTGATCTCAACAGTTCACCTAGAGTTCACCAACTCTTGAGGACTGACTCACACCAAGCAAACTGACAAGAGAATCATTTACCAATGTGATTGCCAGTTTATGAGTATACAATGGCTAAATCCCATCACAGCAACAGACATCTGCCTTTTTGTTCAAGGGGGATTTAATTATGGATCGGAAAGTTGCCAGTGGAGCTAAAAATGAGAACAAAGAGAAGCGATACTCTTAA